GTAGGGAAGAACAGAGCCATGCAAGGAGCCCTTAAGGCTACAGGTGCCCTGGAGGGACACAGATATGCAATTAGCCCTTAAAGCTACAGGTGCCCTTCGGGGACAGAGACAGGCCTTAAGGGCCCAACAAACTTAAGAGCTGAATCAAGACTACTGGGGTATGGGAGAGACCCAGTCCTGATTAAAATGGTCTAAGTCTCACTCTAAGGCCTGTGGGCAGCCTCCCTTATTCAACTTTCATTAAGAACAAGTCATACCGAGTGAGTAATCAGGGAGGGCTGTATTAGAGGCAGAGCTGGCAGAGCTGGGCAGGAGCCACATAGCCACCAGGGGGCATCACAGCTAGGGGTGCACTGATAAAGATTTTTGGGGCCGATACCAGTGCCTGATTATTAACAAGCCACATTGGCCAATACTGATCCAATTGCCAATATGTAGCCTGGCAGCTTGGAGAACAGTGACCGGTGGGTAAGTCTGTTGGGAAGGGGTGGAGGGAGGGAAGGGGCGTACAGGGGGCCAATCGAGGCTCCTGTGGTGAGGAAGGGAGTGGAGCTGGGGGAGGCGCAGGGGCATGTGCCCCCCCCCCCCCCGATCTGTACACGAGGTGAGGGCAGGCTGCCGCTGCAGACTGGGGCCAAGGACGTTGCTGGGCTCTTCCCCGGGCTGTGCTCCGAGCAGGCGGTGGCACTGGGAGGGGGGATACAGGGTCCCCGCAGCCTCTCATGGTCACCCCATAGCCCCCACTCCCAGTGCCTCTGCCATCTACCCCAAGCACAACCCCGGCTCAACCCCACTGGGATGAGCCCAGTGCTGCTCTCAGCCCTGCACACAGCTCCAGGGGGCACATAACCCCTCCATACCTCCCCCACCCTTCCTGGACGAGCCACTCACAAGTCCATCCTGCACTCTGGCTCACCTGGGCAGCGCTTGCCCCAGCTCCACTCCCTCCCTCACCACAGTGTCCTCAATCTGCCCCCCACACTTCTTCCCCTCCTTCCATCCCTTCCCTACAACAGACTTACCAGATGGACACTGCTGTCTAAGCTGCTAGCTTGGCCACATGCATGCTGTGGCTGCACATGGCATTTATCAGTGACATTATTGGCCACATCAGTCAAAAAAAGCTGATTGTCAATAAGGTCAATTTTCCTTTTATCGGTGTTGATACTATATGGACCGATGTATCAGTGCACCTCTAATCATGGCCATCCCTGGGGACTCAGTCATGTCACAGGCAGACCTCTCCTTATTCCTACACTATATTTGGATACAACTCAGAGGTGGTTACAAGTTGCACTTTGATCATCAACTGAGTGAAATAGAATTCTGTCCATGGCCTTTTCTTTTTATCGCCATATAAACATTGTTTGAAATCATTCAAATGATCTTTTACCATCTCCTTTTTCTTATGAGGTTTCCAAATGGGTTAGGAACAGCCACTCCAACCATGGCTTTTTGATCACTGCAACTCACCTATCTGAAAAGAAAATGGAATACAACTTCGTGAAGTTTGCCAAAAGCCAGCACAATGTGCAGGACAGCAGGAATGGTCTTCTAGTCCTCTTCACTAATAATGATGGACCAAGGTCTTCCAGCTTTTCACCCTCTTCCTCAGGTAGGTTAAGACGAGAGTAATTTCCACTCTCTAGCATGTGATTCCCTTGAAGTTCATTTTCTCTCACTTTCTAATGCATTTCCTGTACATAATTATATTACTTGCATGCAATTCCAGACACTGATTCTGGTTTGCCATTATCAAGAATTTGTTTTGATAAAATAATTTTATTATTTCTCTTCTATAGTAGACCACTATACATGTCGGGCTATGTCTATGTGGGAATAAACTGCCTTTGCATCCATTTTTTGCTTCTTTAGGACACACAAATATTTTGGGGTCTTTTGTTTATTTTAAGGGGAGATGGGTGGTTCTTTCTTCTTTTATATTGCTATTTGAATTTCAGAACCAGTGGGCGTGTCTACACGTGCAATTAATTCGAAATAGGCTTATTGCATAGTAAAAATGCTGTGCAGTAAGCTTACTGGGGAACACGTCTATATGCACTTCCTCTTGGGAGCAGATTTGCTCCTACTCTGCTCTGCCCCCCTGCAGCAACCCAGGCGGAGCTCCAGGCTCCCCCTGTGTGCTAGCCAGGGGCTGGCAGGGAGTACAGGGCCAGGATACAGCTGTCTCCTGGCCCCATAGATGTCGGGAGGGGTCCTGATGCGCACTGGGTGGGAGAGCTGTTGCTGCAGAGTTCTCCCACCCTGTGCACATGTTGACAAGCTCTGTGCCCAGTAGGGCTTCTTAGCAGCTAGCCAGAAACTTGCCCCTGTCTAGGGCAAGTCCTAGCCAGCTATGAGCTGTGCCCCTCCTCCGCAGCTGCTTCCCATGTTGATCATGCAATCAGGGCACAGGGCTGGGAAGAGTCCCCTCCCCCATGGCTCTTTCTGAGCCCCATGGCTCGATCCTCCAGTGGGGTAGCTAGCAGTGAGCCCCCAACTGGGTAGGGAATCCCTGCTCAGCTGGGGGCTCACTGCTAGCTACCCCACTGGAAGTTCAGGGTTAGGGGCTTGGATCTGCCCCTCCCCGACAGCTCTTTCCAAGTCCCATGCCTCAATTGCCCAATTGGGCATAGGGTTGGGAAAGAACTGTGGGGCTGGGACCTGGCCCAAACCAGGACAGTTCCTGGTCAGCTCCAGGCTGCACTTGCAGACTTCTCTGTGCAGCCCGGGGCTGGCCAGGAACTGTCCCAGTCTGGGGCAGGTCCCAAACAGCTCCAGGCTGGACAGGGAACTCTCTCCATACAGGTTGCTCCCAGCCCCAGCTCTGTGATTGGAGCGGGGACTGGGAGATTGCTCCCTGCCCCCGGGAGCTGCCTGTGGCTGGGGCAGGCTGCAAGCTCAGAGCCTAGCCAAAACAACAGTTCCCAGCCACAGGGGGCTCCCAGCCCCATCCCCACAATCGGAGCAGGGGCTGAGAGATTGTCCTGGCCAGACTCTGAGCTTGGAGCCCATCCCAGCAGCTCCCAGGGACAGGGCTCAATCTCCCACCCTCTAGACTTGGCCCAGTATTGCACAAGACTGTGGAGTCTCCAACACACTTCCTTTATTTCTGTCATTTGGGACCTTTTGTGCAACAAAGGAGACTACAGGATTTTATACTGAGTAACTTGGAGCTTAGGAGATAAATAAGAATACAAGATTTCCACAATATGTAATTTGCTAAGTATCATTTTAATAAGCCACTCAAAACATTTTGTTTAAATCTATGGGACCAATGCTTTTTCAAGTAGTTAAAACAGTGTTTACAGGAAAACATTGTACCCTTCATAGGAAGGGCTAGCTTACTTCTGGAATGTTATTTTGTTTGCAGAACTGCAGCCATCCTCGCCTGTAGGTGGTTCTCCTACCCAGACACCTCTCCGAAGTGAGATCTTGGAAAATCTCAGAACAAGTAGGAGCAGAAAGACACGGGATACATCATCCCTCTCCTCCAAAGGTCAAGTTCTGTCATGCCGTCGAAGAGAACTCTATGTTGACTTCCAGGCAATTGGCTGGTCAGGATGGATCATTTACCCAAGTGGATACAATGCTTTTTATTGCACAGGTACCTGCCTATTCCCCTTAGGGGAGAGTCTAAATGCTACCAATCATGCTACTGTCCAGTCCATTGTGCATACACTTAAATTGTCCCAAGATGTCAGCATGCCATGCTGTGTCCCAACTGAACTGAAGTCTATCAATCTCCTGTACTTTGATGACAAGGAGAATGTTGTCCTGAAACGTTATAAAGATATGGTGGCTGCAAGCTGTGGTTGTCACTAAGAAGAGCCTTTATTTTTGCGTGGAATTGATCTGCATGTGGACTCAGCTCAACGTTAACAGGCAAGGGTGTAGCCAGGCAGCCTACAGCTACTCTTGCTCCCACCCCCAGGGTTTCAGCAAAGAAGTAAGTGCTCTTCAGACTAGCTGACTTTCAAAGTGCCCTGGGCAGGGCCATCACTACCTGGGGGGCGAATCAGGGTGACCGCCCCGGGCCCCATGCTTTGCAGGGCTCCATGGAGCTGGGTGGAGCAGCCGCAGTGACTCTGCTCTGCTGGCTTCACGTCCAGCCTCTTGCTCATAACCCCCTCCTTCCCCCACCCCCACTCCACCAACAGTGCCACTGCTGGTGGCAGCGGCAACTTCTTTGAGTCTGGGGCACGTGGGATCAGAGTGGGGCAGGGGCAGGGCCCTGCAAGGGCTGATTTTCCCCAGCCCCCACACCCTGCTCGGGTTGGCTCTGGCCCTGGGCTCCCCATGGTGTCCATTGACAATGCAGGGAAAGCATAAGGAGTGTTTCTGTGCATATCAACCAGAGGGATACAGCAAAACCTGAAGGGGAGGATCTGTGTTGAATATAGGTTTTATGCAAATGAAATAATAAATATTAATTCAGTATGCTAATCAAGGCACTGATCAACTTATATGCACTCCAGATTTCTGGACCATCAGCACATCCCACCTCAACAGCAAGGGGCAGGGCCCTCCACTGGCAAAACTACTTTTGCATCCTAAACTCCATAACTCACCAGGCATATAAAGAAATGTCTGTGGATATGGCATTTCCTTTGTGTGGCCCATAGACTCTTCCCCTCCCTCATTTGGCCTCTCTGTGATAACAGCTGTCCTCATGCTCCAGGCTGCACTTTTCCCCAGCACACTAGCTGCAGTCCCCCCACCCCAGATTCAGAGATCTGCTCATGACTTTCCTCCTGGCACTGACCTAGCTGGTGATTTTATAAGTCCAGGAAGTAGTCCTGGTCTAGGCAAAACTCTGAGGTACCAGACTGTGTGTCAGGAGACATGGCTGTACCACCCACCTTTTGACTTTGGGCAGGTTACTTCCTCTCTTTCTGCCCCTGTTCTCTTGCCTGTTTAGTTTTAAGCATATGGAGGCACAAATTATTTCTCCACGTGTATTTGCAGTGTGCCTGGTACAGTGGTGTCCTGATTAGGGGCTGGGGGACCAGGAATATTATAATAAAAAGAAATGAAAAAGATGAGACTTTCCAGGTATGGGTGACCATTGTCCTGCACTGTTCTGCTCCTATATAGAAGCAGAGTTTTGCTGTGTAATGTCCACTGTCTCTCTTTCAGTCTTTATTGGAACTTTGGACTAAACAGGACTGCAGGCGCAATGTTGTTTAAACCTGTTCATAAATTTAACTTAGTTTCATATTAAAACCACTTATATTTCTTGCCACCACTTCTCTGATTAGAAGGCTGTTCCAGAACCTCACTCCTCTGGTGGCTAGAAACCAAGTCACTATTTTCTGGAGGCTGTTCTTCTCCAGTAAGTTGCAAATAATGTAAATGATGTAGATAAATATATTTGTTTCTGTAAATATTCCCTTGTGTAATTAAAATTGCCAGATGTTTCTATTTTATTATAAAAATGAACATTTTGGAATATTTTAACTTAAGCTGCAATATAGTATATGTAATTTTCAATAGAATTATAAAATGTGATTTTGGTTTGTTGTGGCATTTTATTAGATCAGTATGTTTCCCTCCTAAGGCTCTGATCCAACACTCATTGTAATCAACAGAGAGATTCTCGTTGATTTACTGAGCAAAGACTATGCCTCTATACCCCAGTGTCAGTATTTAATCATTGAATACACTAAAATCTCCATTCTGATAGTCTCAGTCGTTTAAATGTTATTCAACAAAAGTCCTTTTGCAACTTCCTAGGATGAGTAAGGACAGAAAGGTTAGGCACATTGGGCATTTATAGATATGCTCTGAGAGGTGAGGGGGGGTGGGGGCGGGCTCTTTAATTAGCACAGTCTGATGGCCATGCTAATTAAAAGCACCCAGAGCATCATGTGTATCAGCGTCCCCATGATTGAAAATGGCAGCAGGATGCTTTGAACTAATGCTCATCCAATGAGCTTTAAAGTGCTCCGTCGCCATTTTTCAACACAGGGGCACTGATACGCATGACGCTGGAGGAGTCTGCTGGAGCACAGTAATGACCACACTCTAGCAGACTCAACTAATCAAGTCTACTCTAATGGAGCAGCCTCCCTGCACGTGTATAGAAGCCCACTGGGCTTAGATCCATGATCTTTTTTAACCAGTGCCTAAGTAAATTGTATCACAACTACACATTTTTATATCTATGTGTTGGCATATCAGGCTCTTAAAGGCAAAAGATCAGCTCTTTTACTTTACTGTTCAATATGCTCCCAGGAATAGAGAGATTTATGTGAAGCAATTACAATTACCTTGACTGAGATCAGAATTATAGAGGCTTGTGTTTCAGTGCCAAAGCTGATCACCATCATGGGTAAGGAAAGAGTCTGATTTTGTAGAATAGTGTGAAATGATTAGTTTGATTTTGAGAATCGTTTTGTCCAGAATACAACTTAAATGCAGTCAGTTTGGGGCAGATTTGCCAAGATGCTTAGTTGCCTATAGATGTACAGATGCTTATTGTGATTTTCAAAGTCACTTAAGCAGATAAGATGTCCAACTCAATAAGGGTGAGGCACCTACCTACCTTTTGAAAATCCCCCTGGCCTTCTATCTGTACCTTTGTAATACAGCCTACATATATCTGGAACAGGAGTGAATTTGACCCATCAATAATGTGTACCTTCCTCTGAAGCACCTAGCCTGAGCCGCTCTCAAAGACAGAATAATACCTTTCCAGATCTTTGTGCATGGATCAAAGATGCCTATACCAATAGCCTGCTAGGCCCCAGAAGTAGCTGCATTTGGGTGTTAGCTAAAGTAATTCATGACACATGGGGCACATCTACATCTGCAATTAATGAGCAGAAAGCTTACTGCACAATAAAATACTCTAAATTTACAGGTAGTAGAAAACCATGCATTATCCTATTTTAATGCACAGTAGCTGCTGCACTCTGTTACATAGTGATGCTTTACTTCACAGTAGATTAATTTACCACACAGTAAAGTGTCTCACGTAGACACACCCATGCATTACAAAAAGCATCTTTTTGGAGACTGCAGAGACTTTGTGTCACAGATTGATGATGAAGGGGCAGGTGAATGAATTCCAGTTTAAAGTTATTTTCTAAATGCTGCTGGAACTGTGCTGTATTTATTATTTAGAAGGTAAATTCTGAAGCATGGATTTTCTTTTTCTCTGTGATTGTACTGCACAGGTCCGGTGGAGTTCTGGTCCATGACGACCAGCACAACACAGTAAGGTGCCTACCACCTTATCTGTGCATCTTTTTTCTCATTCAAATATTAATTAGATCAGCATTTCTCAACCCATGAGTCACAAGAATATATAAAAGGGTCCTGAACAAACTTAAAAAATGGATTGTCCTTTGAAGGAGAAAAATGTGGGAAACCATGGCTTTTCCCTTGCAGGCTGGCAGAGTTCCAGCCTGCAAGGGGCTGTTTGGGGCTCCCCATACCCCACACACCCTCTAACCACCCCACACACACCTCCCCCTGCCCCACACACAGGGGGCTGAGGCCTGGGGGTGGGGGTCAGTGGATCCAGAGTGAGGGACACTGGGTTTGAACTGGCCATCAATGTTTACAAATGGATCCTGGTACAAAAAAAGTTGAGAACCACTGAACTAATTAAGACTGTAAAATATGTAAAATAACATTCAGTATATAAATATATATTTCCAATAGTTTTTTTTTTTTACTTTAAACATTTGTATTCATAAAATGGAAACAGAGAAAGCAGTAGAGAGAGAGCTAAGTTCTCTAGAGGGAGCTCATTTCTCTCTCTTTTTTTGTAATGTTGCATCTCAAGCCAAGTTGGCCAAATCAGTTCCAAATTCTATTGACTGAGCAGAGCACAATCATTCAAGATTGTGTGGTAGTACCACTGGTAAGTATCCTACCTCCCAGATTCTTCTCTCTGGGGCATCAGATACTTCCAAATCCATGGCGGGCATCCTATGTGATCTTTCCCTCTAGCTTGCTCCTTCAGCCTTTTGCCTAGGGGCAAGCGAGACTAGGGGTCATCTGAACTCCAACACCTCTAGGCTTGGGGTTCAGTTCTCTCTTGGAGCTGCCCCTACCCCCAAGTTGTTAAAGAGAACTCTTCAGCATGAGAATCTGAGGTGGGAACAGTAGAAAGTGCTTCTTATAACTGGTAGGGAGTTTCTGAAGTCTTCAAGCCTTCCTACCAGTTAGGGCAGAAGCAGCAACCCCTTAAAGGGACAGAAAGGATTTCCCAGCTGTTCACTTCCTCTGTTAAGCAAGGTGTGTTTCCTAGCTGGCTCCCTCAGCCTTGTAAGAAGATCTCAGGAAATCTCAAGGTCTCAGATTCTGGATTCCCTTCTCCTTTGAGGGCAACAGCAGGGTCCAATCTACTTCATTTCCCTTCTAGGTTCCCCACAGTAGGGAACAATTTTTGAACTCAGGAAAGATAAGAAGTTCGTGGAAGTGAAAAGGAGGTTGGACAGCACACAAAATAACACTTACTGGTATAACCTGCTGAAAGAGTTACTTTTTTACCTTGAAGGTATTCTATAAGGTACATATCTACCCTAATCGAATCAAAGATGCACAAGCTGTCATGAACAAGAACTCAGCAAGTGATCTTTTGCTCATGAAAGGTTATACTTCTCAGATTCAGTTAGCCTATAAGGTACATCTCTACCCTTCCTTCTACCAGACTTCAGACTAACGTGGCTACCTACCACTTTTCTTTACCTTGAGTTATGGAAGGCTGTGATTTAGCACCAAAGATCTCAGACTCAAACTGATGACCAAAGATAAGAATTTTCCATTTCCTGTGGAAAAACACAGATTTTCCCCTTTAAAGGAGAAAACCG